TCTGTCGGTCGGTCTGTCTGTCTGTCTATCTATCTAGATGTCTATCTGTCTGTCTGTCTATCTATCATCTATCTATCAATCTATCTGTCTGTCTGTCTGTCTGTCTGTCTATCTATCTATCTATCTATCTGTCTATCTGTCTATCTATCTATCTATCTATCTAAAATATCCTATACAGATATAGTTATTTAATCAGTAGGAAAATATAAAATGCACCAGAGAATATCAATATTTTCTAAATTGCTTATGCAGTTTTGCTTAACAGGTGAATCTATTTTGTTGTAGGGATGTTTAGATATGTTAGGCCACTGCTAAAAACAATGCACAACAATGTATTTTTCTTACAGTTTTTCTCAGTCGCTTTGGTGCATTTCTCACATCACTATTTACATTTGCACAACAGTTAATGCAGTTCTCAAAACAATTAGTACAAACAGAAATTGTTCAATTTAGGAGACATTTTCAGGGAAAAAAAAGATTTTAAAAAATTTGTAAAATTTGCTTGACAGATTTTGACAACTAGTTCAACATTTTTGTATGTAATGACTCAAGCAATGAAATGAGGACTATTAGTTTTATATGGAATGACTATTCAGCATTCACAAGTATAGTTAATTTTGACTGACATGACATAAGCAAATGATAATGTTATAAAACAGCAGAGAGTTGTATGAAAGCAATTGATGCATGTCCAAAAGCATTTGCAATTTGTTCGAAGGAATGAGAAACTGCTACTATGATGTGCACAAATGACTAAATGTTGTGGAGGTTGAACTAACTGTTGTGCAAATGTAAATAGTGATGTGAGAAATGCACCAAAGCGACTGAGAAAAACTGTAACATTTTAATGCATTTTAAAACATAAATTATTGATTTAATACCAACTGAATGCCAAATGGATGAAGTCTGTTGATATTTTTTGAGGTGATTTTTTTCAGCAGGCCACCCGCATCTGTGCCTTCTGTACCAGTAAACAGGAATACATTGTTGCCAGGTTCTGAACTGATAACCTCATACATACTCCAGGCTCACATTCCCGGTCCAGATGCTAACCACTAATGCTACGCTAGGTGTGATCAAAACAAACAGCATGGATGTTAGCCTAGCAACTGCACAGGTAACAGCAGCTGCTGTGAGCCGCCAGATAAAGAACAAAACACACAAGTGCTCAGCTGGCGAGAGATCAAAGGTTGTCAGAGGTCGCTAGTCAGCTGCGTTTGCGAACCTGGACTAAATGAGGGCTTTATCTTGCGATGCTTCTTTGGATTGGGAGATCAAACGGGTGGACCGGAGTGTGTGGGCCACTGGCGTGAATTGAGAAAAGCCCAAACTTTTCGCTGATTACCAGCCTGCTCTCCACAACGTAAACATGATGTCAGCAGACGCGACCGCAGCCATTATGGCTTCCATTAACTTGATTACTCTGAATTAAACATGCACTTAGCTGTGTGTACATAGCCAAACAGCGCTTGCACTTTAGATGCAGGGTGAGAATGACAACATTGACATTAACCATGACATGCTTTCCAAATTAAAAGGTTTGCATGTAATGCTTCAAGATCACATCCCTAAAAGCAGGCACTGGGAACATGCATCATGTAAACACAATCAAAACATTTATAACATGGCTTCAGAAGTTGTATGGGCAATTTTCTTGGAGCTTAGCAAACTATAAAGTGGTAGCCGTTTGAACATGTGCTGCATTAAGAGTCATTAAAAATTCTCCTTAAATAATAACACAATTTGGAATGATATCAGGTTGGATAAATAGTGATAAAATGTCATGATTTTTGGTTAACTGTTCCTTTAAGAGCAATGCCGGTCAAATGGCAAATCCAATTTCTCGATGTTACTCTTTATCCGACAAACCCATCAGCCTGATTCCTCTGATTCTTGTCTCTGTGGTGAAGCTCTCATAGAGGAATATGATTCGTATTAGAGTTGAATATTAGCCTCATGGCGAAGAGATGATGGCTAGTGTCAGAGAAGGAGACAAAGAGAGAGAGCGCTTTCCAAACCCCATCCCAGACCAGTGAAGAGTTAATCTACTGCATATGTTCTCTATGGAAATATTGAGAGTTAGTATAGAGACTTTTCCACTTGATGCTGGAGCTATTGGACATTCATTGAAGAGATTAAATAACCAATATGAACCTTAATATATCTACTTATTTATATTTATTTTATAATTATGTATATATATAATTATATTATATTATTATAATTATATATAATTATATTTTTACAGGGCTCTAAGCTTACTTTTCTTTTTAGGACCACTTGTACTCCTAATTTAAAAACATTTAGGAGCACAGTCAAAAAATTTGGGAGCACCTTCTGATCAATAACAAAAATCAGCCTTCCAATTATGAGGTGATAATGGACTACTTAAAGTGATTTACAGAGGCATTTTTTTAACCTTTGTAATGGCAATTTTTCTTACTTTGTTCAAAGTATGCAGTCTTTTATGTCAATTTAAAAAATATATATATTTATAAGCTTTTTCAAAATTTCTAATTAAAACAACAGAAGAAGACTAAGTTACTGATCAAATTAAATGTACATTTGAAGTTCTTTAGAAAGAAGACAAGAGAATGTATGATATTTTATTGATTAGAGTTTAAAGACATTCCCCTGACATAAGTAGAAAATAAGTAGAAAAAACACGTATTGAGAGTCCAAAAGCATTCATTGCGTGATGAAGCCTATTAGAACACTGTTAGAATGCCCTTAATTATAATTCAAGTTATGAAAGAAAAAATAGCAGCAAGAGTGCTTTCCTGAATATCAGCATGTGTATGCGATCACAAATGTGCTATTAATTTTATACAACAGTGCAGAGCAACACTGCGGGTAAAGGCAAACCTTCTGTGCATATTTAGGATAATATTCCATTACTGGAACCAAGTTCCTCATCTTTTAAATGAGAATCTCACAAAACTGACCTAAAATCAGCACAAAGGAGCCTTGGAGAGATCGAGAGACTCCTGACAGATGTTCTGGGGACAAAACTCATCAGGAAATGACTGCTAAGAGCTGTTATGGTTTCGTGTTTTTCTTTCTTTTATAGCAACTCACCAACTCCCTTCTCACTGATGTTTATTTCACAAGGCTGGTTTTTAATAAAGTCAGCTTTTATGTTTATTTAACAACACTTTACGCTTTCCATTACTCAGGATAGAGTGAGTAATTCAACATTGACCTCATCAGAGAAATGCTTGTTTTATATTTGATAATAAAAAGAACATCTTTCATCATAATGAACTGAATTGCAAAACGTGTGCGAAAGCTTTGTCCGCTGGCGAGAGCTGAAATGGTGGCAATTATCATGTCTCCAGATTCACTCTTAATAAAGTTTTTCATTTTGCATTATTGCTTAAAACTACAGTTTAATATTTAGTTTGGACGCCACAGGTGCAGCCACAGAAAACCTGTCCCAAAACCTGCCTACGTACACTAAATGACATTTTAGGTGCAGTCCAAACTGTTCGTGATGTTGGGCAAATTCTAATGCAGCATTGTATCCTTAAAGGCACAGTTCAACAAAAAGGAAAATTGATTTTTTTCATGTTTATGTCGATCCAAACATGTATAACTTTTTCAAAATATCTTGTTTTGTGTTACACAGAAAGAAAGTAAGTCATGCAGATTTGAAACAACATGAGTGAGTAAATGATGATAGAATTTTCCTTTTTAGGTAAATTATCCCTTTAAGAAAAAAAACAATAAATAAATCCCATAATGCACTGCATCGAGCCCAGTGATTTAAATAAAATAACAAGAATAAATAACAATCGGTTAAGTGATTTCGCTATTTCAAGGAGACGCGGTTTATTTGCTTTAAGTGGTTGACCAATCAGAGCAGACCTGGCTTTTTTTTGGAAAGGTGGGATTTAAAGAGACAGGAATTAAGGGAGTGTTTATACAACACAGTTTTCAACTAAAAACGGGAAAAAATGTTATGCGTTTTGGCTGTTCATTTTCACGACAATGTTGTTTTGGGGTGGTGGAAGAACGCAAACTTTTGAAAACAGGTCTCAAAGTTTTTGAAAATGATTTTGAAAATAGTAAAAATGGTGATGGCATGCGTTTACCTGTTCAGTCTATAGGCATATGTGTGTAGGCTCGTAGTGTTTGTTTACAAAGTGACAACGCCAACTACTGGCCTGGCATGCATGATTCAGCATTTTTAGCCACTTTTGCTGATCCGCGTGAACGTGGATCATTTTGAAAATCTGTACACAAAAAAATGCAAAGGAAAAACTTTTCTGTTTTAGTACATCACTGTCGTCTAAAGATACCCTAAAAATGAGAGTTTCAGGCAGAGGTGCTGCAGCAGTGTACAATATGAGAAAAATAATGTGATTTTGAACTTTGAATTCATTACACCAAATACACAAAATAATGTTCTTTTTAGCAGCATCATATGACCCCTTTAAAAAATAAAATTATGAGCTTGTAAATAAGCATAATATGGGCCCTTTAAAACGTTTAAACTTACTGAAAATGTGGCAGGATTTGAGGTGTTTCAATCGATTTAGAAATCATGTTTGATCACAGAATTGACCTCCATTGTAATCGATTTTTACTTTCTCGTTCTGTAGGAATCTAATGCCTCGTACTTTAGACGGCCAGATCACCATGGAGAAAACACCCAGCTACTTCATCACCCGTGAAGCGCCATCCCGCGTCTTCTCCATGAGCCGCAGCACCAAACTCATTGTGGTGGTCCGTGACCCTGTGACCCGGGCCGTGTCGGACTACGCTCAGACTCTGACTAAAAACCCCGGCCTGCCGTCTTTCCAGAATTTGGTCTTCAAGAACTCCACCACGGGTCTGATCGACACCTCCTGGAGCGCCGTGAGGATCGGCATCTACGCCAAACACCTGGAGAACTGGCTCAGGTATTTCCCGCTCGCGCAGTTTCTTTTCGTGAGCGGAGAGAAGCTGGTGACGGACCCCGCAGGAGAAATGGGCCGGGTGCAGGATTTTCTGGGACTCAAACGGGTGGTGACCAATAAGCACTTCTACTTTAACCAGACTAAAGGCTTCCCCTGCCTCAAAAAGCCGGAAGGAAGCAGCAGACCGCGATGCCTGGGGAAATCGAAAGGCCGACCACATCCACACACACCAGCAGAAGTGCTGCACAGACTCAGGGATTTCTACAGGCCTTTCAACATGAAGTTCTACCAGATGACTGGTCAGGACTTTGGCTGGGACTAAACACTTGCAGGACCCTTTGTGATTATGTACAAAGCAATGAAACTGTCTATTTATGACTGATTGGTGTTCAGTATCTTCAGCCTGAGTACCCTCAGAAATTGCTAGTACATTTCACAGTTAATTTCAAAGAAACTACAAGTGCAAACAAAGAGATTGTTGGCTGAATTAAATCCAGACTGGAAAAGATCTAACAAAAGTATATTTTATTATATAAACTACATGCAAGAAAAAAGTGCACAGTGCAAGTGAATTTAAAAACTAGACCAGCATGAGCAAACATTTCAGTACATTGCTTTCTTCAGTGCTCACATTACAACAACCATTCACCATTTTTCTGGATTACTAATTAGTGGATTCAATTAGCAGGTGGACCTCAAAGAAAATGTGGCAATTATACAAAACCACTGCAGATATACAAGAACAACAAATAGTATAAATATGTAAATAATGAAAAATAAATAGGCACAAATGATACAAATAATACAAACGTGCAAAGTCAACACATTTCCAAAAATAAAAACTTGCACAGTGCACTTTAATTTATATAATTAAATAAATAAATAAATTATTCTCCAGTCTGGATTTAATTAAGTGTGCAGCCAACCATTGAAACATTTTTATTTCATGCTCCTCCTCATCAAATGCATTTTAAAATTTAGTATACATTTGTATTTTAAACATGTATTTTAAAGTATATATTTGGTTTTCAACTGATTCAACTGAGAATGATCTCAAACAGACTGAACAGAATGACGGCTCTGTGATGTCTGCTGCTTAAACGGTCCCTTATTTCAGATGCCCATAATGATACAGCTCAAAACACATTTGTACTTTGTGATTTATTGCTGCCAAAAAGAGCAAAAACTTGGATGTTCTCATTCAACCACTGTTATGTAATAGACATTAGACATAGAGGAAAGAAAAAAGAGAGACAGCAATAGACATGTGCTATATAAACTTTATTTATTTCATGTGTTTTTGCTCATTAAAAGGAATTTCCTGCTTCTGCAAGAAAACACTTTAGTTTTATATTGTGTTACAGTAAAAATGGTTTTAGCCATTTAATGTGGACTCTATGGCTTAGATTTTGGACCATGCATTTCATATGCCACTTTTTCTTTTTTTTTTTATAACAGATGATTATTCATTAAATTCTCTAAACATGTGTTTCCATAGTGAAATAGAGCAATGTAACCCTTTAAAAATGTTCTTTTATTTTCTCAAAATAATTATTAGAGATGTTATACAGGGAGGAATACTGGACTATGCATTATATCTGCTGACTGAAAACCAAGTTTTGCTTCTGCTGTAAATTGCCATTATTTATATTTATGAATGTAAAGACGTTTTGATCTGTCAGTGTCCAAATATATATTGAAATCAGTGAGCAGCTTTTTCTACAAACATTATAATAAATAAACATGATACGAACGGTGCATATACACATTTTCTTCATTTTACTGTTCTCTGTGACCAAATATTGGTCTAGTTTTTTTTTTTTTGATAGAGATACATAATGAGTAGAAAATACATTGAATTTTCCCAGAAGAGCATATACTGTATGCATAGTAAACAAAAATAAATGTAATTTTTAATTTAATTTTCCAGTTTTACCCATTAAATAAAATATATTTACAGTATGTGTGCATATACAAATATACATTTTTATAACTTATTTTATAACTTTATAAATATAATTTTTATAACTTCAGGGAAGAAATTGGAATTGTAGCTGTCAGTGGCAACCAGGCTAAATGTGAAGTTAACATTCTGAGCTGTAGCTTTCTGATGTGTATAAGCAATCAATTTCCAAGGGTCATAGACACTTTTAGGATGGTAATCTTTGACCCTTGATCCCTTTTCAGAGCCCCCACCCACATTAATGTTACCAATCCAGCCTCTTCATTCCTAAAAAATATCAAAATCAATAATTGTCTGTTTAAGTTTATAGTTCCACTGCGGTGTGCCATCATCCATTTAGTCCCCGTCACCATGATTTAATTCAGATCGAGTGCTGCTTGCTTCCAAACATCCATAAAATGATATTTAATGGAGGATTTACAGTATTTTCCAAATCCTGATAGATTTACGTGGCCTGTGTGGGTTTATATGAAGATGTGGATTGCCCAAACCATGATTTTGATCTATTAAAAAGACACACAGTTCCCCCTTTACTATTTCTTACATTTTCTCTATTGAATAGAATAGAAAACAGGTATTCAAAATTGCAATAATATTTCAGAATATTACTCAGAATATTAAACAGAGGACAGAAAACTGATGTCTTACTTGGAAAACTTCAAATGAACTGCTTTGAAAAGTTCATTTGAAGTTACCTCAGACGTCTATATACAAGAAGCAATTTGAAAAATAAAATACAAACAATCATCTCCTCATTTCGTGAAACTGGCTGAATGATCAAAAGCTCAGGATGATCTCTATAAAACACAACCACCTAAATTTAACTTAAAGCTGTGTGGTCTCAGACAATTTGACCAAACGGACAAAACATTCCAGGAGGATCTGAAGTTGCATTCTGATGTTCTTGAGAGAGATTGAAGAAGATTGTTCTTTGTAAAGCTGCACATGCAAATACAATCAATTAAAGAGTGCTTGGTTGGCTAGAGGAGAATAAAAAGAGCATCATTCACATTAGTGGTGCAGGAATCAACACCCAGGAAAAATAAAACAGCTATTTCTGTCTTGAAACGTAAGCCCAGTCCTCTGTCTTTCTACTGAAATGGATTTGAGGAATGTCTTTGAGTGCTTCCCCCTTGTAAAGTCTTCTTTGTATCCCAGTGGCCAGTAGCAAATCAGCGAAAGCTGAGATGTCATTCTGTTCTGCACCTGACTGCCTGCATTCAAATGCAAACAGGCTTGGCTTTGGCCTCTTCATCACACTAGACTCTCTCTGTGTGTGTGTGTGTGTGTGTGTGTGTGTGTGTGTGTTCAGCTCTCAGTGTTTCATGATGGCTGACGTTTAGGCCTTCCTTGCTGTCAAAGCTCTGGATTAAAGCAAGATTAGACTAGTGCTAAAATCTCGCTCAGATTCAAATTTCTCACTTCTTGGCTAAAGAGCAGCCAGTGACCCTGAAACTAAAGGTCAAGTATCAGCATTCAAGTGTTGGAGAGTCTCTTAAGTGCCTAGTGCTCTGACATTCATGATATTCCTGCTGACAACCACACAAATGTTCAGACTATTCATAAGTATAAAGATACTAAAGGCTGTATAAATAGTACAGCCAGCAAATCAATTAAAATCAGGGTTATTATAATTAACTGGAACTAAAACCATAAAAAAATAATTTGTTACCCGAAATAAAATAAACTTTAACTGAAATGAAATAAAAATATAAATAACTTATTTCAGCCAAGAATACATTTGTCATTTTCATTTAGTGTTCATTTTCATTTTCTAGATGTACTGAAATACTGAAAACTAATTAATTAATTAATTTAATTTGTTTATTTATTTAATAATAAATTAATGAAAATTAATAAAAACTATATAGACATATTAAAAACTAATAAAAAGGCAAAAACGTGCAACAAAATTATTACTCCTTTTCATTCGGTGTTTTTTAATTTTCATTTTCTTGATGTACTGAAATACTGAAAACTAATTAATTAATTAATTTAATTTGTTTATTTATTTAATAATAAATTAATGAAAATTAATAAAAACTATATAGACATATTAAAAACTAATAAAAAGGCAAAAACGTGCAACAAAATTATTACTCCTTTTCATTCGGTGTTTTTTAATTTTCATTTTCTTGATGTACTGAAATAAAAATTAATAAAAAAAAGCTATATAGACATTATAAAAAACAAATAAAAATGACAAAACAACAAAATTATTAAGATTTTAACAAAAATGAAAATGCAAAAATGTGATTAAAAATGGTGACAAATTTCCCAATACAATATTCGTATATATATAT